AAGAAGTAGGAATAGTTGTTAATTTCCTTTTATATTTAAACTCCTTTAAAGTTTTCAATAAGGAGGCTTATTTTAGTCAAATTTTAGCGGTCAATTCTCACCTTAAGTAGAACACAATTTTCATCAAATAATTTTGTTAGCTTTGATTGGGACATATCATATATTTATGTATGTATCATATATATATATGTTTGACTAATAAGGAGTGCTAGGAAAAAGAGATACATCTATCTTGAGGAGATGGGGGCATGATAGCATGGGGCATTACTCAAGTCCATAATCTCTTTCATAATTTTTACTATTTTATCATATTGCTAGTCAAGTTTATGACTATATCAAATATAGAAAAAATAAATTCAAAAAAAAAAAAATCAAAGCTTGAGGCAAGCTAGCCACCCTTGTTGATGTGAAAATTTTCTCATTGAAGAATTCTCACCTGAAAGCAATTTTTTTTTGCAAATTAGTGTTTCTCTTTTTTATTTTTTCCTTTTTTTTTCCTCTTTTGGGAGGATTTAGAAATTAAATGTGCTTGTTATAGATTCTTTATCATATGATGAAGAAGTGGTTGAGGTATAAAAGATAAATGGTTAGATTTATGGATGTTGACTTTGCTTCTTAGCTTACCTTCTTTCTAAATCATCTTTGTTTTCATGTTATGTGTTTGCGAATTTATACTATTGTTTTGGTTTTCTTAGTTTGAAGATTTAAATAAACTGATTATTTGGTTTGGTATTAGAATAAAATGAATAAATTTAGTGGGTTGTAGTTTTGCTTTCTTGATAAGTTTAATGTATGGAGGACATTTGCATGAAGAGTGATATTAGTTGTTCTTAGCCTAATGAACATTTGGAATAGCTATATTAGGTAATAGAGGTCAAAATAATACCTAGTTGCCATATGACACTACTTAGATTAATAAAATTTGTTTGTTTGGCTTTAAATTTAAAATAATGTAAAACTAAAAAGAAATGAGTAGAATCAAGTAAAAAGACTAATGAGAACAAATCGATTTGGACAATTTTTACTAATTGAGAAACGATGAAGAAGAAAAGAGTATGTTCAAAGCCCTAGAGAATTTTATGCAATTCGCTTGTTCCATTTTTGTATCATTCTTAATTTTTCCTTCAATATATTTTAATTTTTCATCTCTATGGTATGTAAATACTTTATTTAGTATATTGAATTCTAAGTCAATGACATTTTGATATGGATGTACTAGATAATAGTTTTTTTTAATTAATCTTTGCACACCAAATTATTTAATAGACATGTGTGTAACATTTTTTTATTGTTTAATGTCCATGAACCAATAATCTCTAAAATTAAATTAGTATTTATTTATAACATCTAATCTCACTTCGAATATGATTTATGATATTTTTAAATATTTTAAAATTTAAAATTTATTTTTTACAAAATTTATTTTTATCTTCACGCATATAAGTTGAAACGATTGTCAAACTTAGTGGACATATTGATTACATTGCTTTTCAAGGTTCGGTTGAACATATGTAGGTAAAAAAGAGGGGACAATATGAACAAAAAAGATGGATAGAAAATGCATGTGGTAAATAAACCTTGGGTGTGACCAATCAAATGGTAATTTCTATTTAAGAATGTTTTCCTTTGAAGAATAGAGGTTGAAAAATTCAGTAATCAAAATGGGATTCTTTCTCAGACTAAGAGAAAAAGTGTTTTTAATTTTTTTGTTCTAATCGATACCTATCCAAAGTGTAAACCTTGGGTGTGGCCTATGTACTATCAATGTACAAACTAGGGAATGTTCTCCTAGATCCCTTCTCATCATCGTCTGCTGTCCAACCCACATTTGTTGTTCAATATCCAAGCTCCAAAGACAAAACCATGGTATTCAACAAAACAAAAAAAAAAAAAAAAAAAAAAAAAAAAAGAAAGGAACAGTAAAAAAGAAGAGAAGAAAAAGGAGCCATCTGATTTGCCCTTTTAAAGTCTAATCCAAAGCCTATCCTCTAATTAGTTGGTCCAAACCTTGATTGAACCCAATTTACATGGTCCTACTAAAACACAATTTATTGAGCAGTCCATTTCACCCCAAACATGGTCTGAGGACAGCCTAAACATCTGACAGGAAAGACCAGGCCAGCCCAATCATCAGATATGAACCGACACTGTATTGGACTTTTTCTCTTTTCTGTACCTTACTTCTTTCAGCTTCAGCCAACAGAGAAGTGACTTGAGTGTCTTGGTTCTGAAAAGAAGACAAGAGAAGCATGGTGGTCAAAATCGCGGATGAGGGAGAGTTGATTTGATTGGCCGAGGAAACGAACCAAGAGCGAGCTCGCCTTTTTGCTGTTGTTCAGGTGTGGACGCGGAAAAGGGAAGATTGAAGGAGAAAGAATAGAAGACGTTTGGCTCGAGAACAAGTCGTGACAGAGCCGAAGAGAGAGGACGTTCCACATAGCAGGAGAAGCCGAATAAGGGAAGAAAAGTAAAGCATTGAAGAGGAAAGTGTGGACTGAAAAATAGAGCATCGGAGCAGGGACTGGGGCGTTGAACCGAGAGAAGAGAGAGAGCAGACGAAGTCATCGGTCTCGTGATAAAAATCAGAAACCTGGGAGCTTCAGGGGGAGAAAAAGGAGAAGACATTTTCGGTGTGTAAAAACATAGGGATTTTTGGAGGGAAAAAGGGATAGAGAGGGAGGTGTCTAAAGAGGGACTGACGGTGAGAAAGAAGGGAGAAAAAGAAAAAAGAAAACAGAGAGCGTGAGCAATGGAAGAAGAGAGGAGCAGCAGCCTATCAAAAGGCTTTGGAAGGGGAATTCCACTAGGTAAATCCGAACTCATTAATGGATGCATGTTGCTATTGTTAGTTGAAGTTGTCTCTGTATAATCAAAATGATCATAAAATATGTATGTGTAAATTCATTTAGTATGGATCGAAATTTCAATGAAGAAAAACGATTTTACTGAAAGTGGAGGGAGACTAGTGGAACGTAATTTGTTGAAATGTAGACCTGAATTATTTTTCTAGTATGAATAACTGAAATCTGGATCGGGATGATGATAGTTTTTAAATAGATTTTAAGCCATTGGATATTTATTATGGGTGTTGTGGCTGAGTTTGTAGGAGAAGTACTAGATTATCAGATTTTTTGTGATTAGTAGGACCAATTTGTTTTGTGGTTTGAGGATATGATCAAGCTATCTAGGGTCGTCTTGTCTCTTGGGATCTGTCATTATTTCTAATATTTTGTTTTAGTCTTCAGGATAGTTAAGTTAGCTTGTTCTTTCTCTCGTATTTGTTTGCCCTCATGCATTGTCATTAACCTTTTTTTTTCTTTTCACAAAATGTCTGCTTTTAATCCTTTCTGTCTTAAAATCTAGTTTGATGAATTGGGTCATTATCTTGTTTAACTTTGGGTAGATAAGTTTGACTCTCATTTGGGGTCTATATGAAATGGCATAACCCTTATAAAATGGTATACTAGATTCTGTTCTCCAAGTTTCCCTATTCAATACTATGCATGTTTCCTAGGTAACTTCTAGTTTGATCAGGGAAAATACAGAAAATGAATTTGCTAGTGAAGGTTACAGATTCAGTCAAGAGGAAGAGACTTATAATATCGTAATTGCTCATGGTTATTTTGGCCGCTTGATCTTCCAATATGCTACAACTCTCGTTCTTTATATTTCTTCTTAACAGCTTGGCCTGTAGTTCGTATCTGGTTCACTGCTTTAGGTATTAGCACTATATCTTTCAACTTAAATGGTTTCAATTTCAACGAGTCTGTAGTTGATAGTTAAGGTTGTGTAATTAATACGTGGGTTGATATTATTAACCATGCTAACCTTGGAATGGAAATTATGCATGAACGTAATGCTCACAACTTCTTTCTAAACTTATTGGCTGTTGAAATTCCATCTACAAATGGATAAGATTTTGTCTCAGTGGAGACTGATGCGTTTTTGAAATAAAAAAATAAAGAAGCAGTAATCAACTTCTTGTTTCTTTTGAAATTCAATTCATTTTTCTTTCCTTCAAAATCTGTTTGTAGTGTTATCATTGTGGATCCGATGATACTTACTGCTTTACTCACATCTTTATGGAGTCTCTAATTTAAATATTCCACTGTTTCACTAAACACGCAATTTGGTTGACTTTGGCCCACTGAGATTGAGATTTGAGGGGCTGCTTTGGCAATAATTATTCATATAAATTCTAAATCTTAACTTGAATGCATGAAATAAGCTAAAAAGTGACTGCAGTTTCTTGCATATAAGGATGCATGAAGGTAATTTATTTGGATGACGATAGAGAATAACCGGGATTGTTTCATGTTCATAATTTACTCAGAGATTTAGTTTTTTTTCTGCGTAAGGCTGCTTTATGATTACAATCTTTGGTCTTCACATCTAGATAGTTTTTTTCCCCTTCTTCTTCTCTTTTTGGTGAAAAATGATGCTGTTTGTACGGGTGAAATATATTTTAGACATCTACTTTATTATGTTTATATAGTTGTATATTTTTTTTAGTTTCACTTACACATGTTTCTTCTGGGTCATTTTAATGCTTATGCCACTAGACTGGTGCCTCACCCCTTCTTGTCTAGTTTTATTTTTCGGATTTAGTTTACCTTTATTAGATTGGTGCATATTTTGATGTTTAAGTCCACAAAACGGATTACTATTACTGACAACTCATTTTTCCATTTATTGTAAATTCTTATTTTTGTGGAGTTTTATCCAGCGGCACAATTGTGATAGTACCACATTTAATACAATCTTTCAAGTACAAGAACGTCTGAACCTAAAAGCTCTCTTTTTTTCTTTTTCTATTTGAAGCCTAATAGTTGAATATTGTAGCTCTTCATTTTGTATTCCACTCGTTAAGTGAGAAAGTTTTGTAACTTTTTTAATCTATTGCAGCA